ACACACTGTACCACACACACCTACACACTGTACCATACACACCTACAGACTGTACCATACACACCTACACACTGTACCACACACACCTACACACTGTACCACACACACCTACACACTGTACCACACACACCTACACACTGTACCACACACACCTACACACTGTACCACACACACCTACACACTGTACCACACACACCTACACACTGTACCACACACACACCTACACACTGTACCACACACACACCTACACACTGTACCACACACACACCTACACCACACACACCTAAACACTGTACCACGCACACATACACACTGTACCACACACACACACATCTACACACTGTACCACACACACACACACTGTACCACACACACCTACACACTGTACCACACACACCTACACACTGTACCACACACACCTACACACTGTACCACACACACCTACACACTGTACCACACACACCTACAGCTCCTAAAGCATAATCAGGCTACAGCCGTTGAGTATTTTATTATGTGAAGCACGAAATGGTCTTAGAAACATCTGGACTCTTTGTTTGTAGATATCTACTAAACTAAAGTAAATAAAGAGAGTAGGCCTGTTATACTGAGTGATATATATTATACACACTGCTCTGCTTTCTGCACGGACCTCACAGCTGTTCTTTCTGGAAACATCGCGACACGATGAAAGCAGTAATAATATCCAGGGGATGCATGCAGAGCTGTGATTGGCTGAGATAAGTCCGGCCGTGCGTCACGTCTCCACCGTTCCCGGAAATGCATCCGCGGAGGAGCCGTGGCAGTCCCAGTGTCTCCTCGGTTAGAGCCTCCTCCAGAGAGCCTCCTCGACGCTCGATCCTCGGTCCTCGAAGTGCATTTAGAGAAATGAGATGTCCTTCAAAATGGCGCGCTGAAGTCCATTTCCGTGTCACTACCGGAGGACGGAGGAGTCGAGGAGGGGAAATGAGAGAATTGAGAAACCTCTAGTGTTTTCTGCAGAGTAATGGATCCTTTTCTCTGGATGTTTCAGGGGGGGGGCGGGCCTCCTGGACCCAGCGGACCTCAGGGCCTCCAGGGCTGTCCTGGAGTCAGAGGACAGAAGGTATGAATATTATATTAATTTTGCCTTTTTATTTTATTTGATCTTTTATTTTCTAAATGTTTAATCATATTTTAATTTATTTTACCTTTTTATTATTTTTGTATATGTTTATTTCATTCATATCTTTTTAGGTTAATAGACCGACATGACACATTAGTACCTATTTCACCTGTATTTCACACCTGTTACAGTATTATTACACCTATATTACAAATATATAATTAAGCAATAGCTCACGACAGGCCGTGGTATATGCTCATTATATCACAGCTAAGGGGCGTGGTTCGGCCCGACGCGAAGCTGACTTGTTGTGAAAAGTAACTTACAATTCTACCCGTGGTATACGCACAGTATATCACGGCTAAGAACCAATCAGATTGCTTGATTTGACTTGTCCGTTTTATAACAGTATTTTTACACCGATATGACACTGTTACTACACACATTTCACACATGGACAGAGCCTGTCAGATGAGTGTTTCCCAGGACACAGAAATGAAAAAGATGTGTGTGTTGTGTTTGTGTCTGCAGGGCTACCGAAGCGTCTCCGGGAACCGCGTGAGTGTCTGGAGCAAAACGTTTAGAGGAGATTAAAGAAGAGTTGAAACTGCATTTTCTAAAAGTGTTAGGAGAAACATAAATATTTGAGTTCTGGTAGTTCATAAAGAGGAAAGCGCTGAGACGCTGGTTCTGATCCAACAGGGCGGAGACGGAGACGACGGACTGGACGGAGTCTGTGGAGAACAGGTACAGCGTCAGCAACAAAACACGAGTCACTGTAAAGAAAGTCATCACATAAACTGGCACCACTTTACAATAACCCTTATAAAGGATTCATAAAGGATTCATAATTAGGTTATTAATTAGGTTGTAAGCACTTTATTAATCATCAAGAACCATTTATAAACCGGTTCTAGTTCTCATAGTTTTCATACATCGACACAGGCTCACTATTTGGCAAGATGACTAAGCCTTATGTTGGCTACCTAGCTTACTTTGTCTTCTTCATCAGTCAGCATCCTTGGTATCTGTTGCTCACTGAGTGGATTCCCCCCTTCCATCTTGATGTTTCTTGGCATCTCTTTCTGACCATCTATTTACGAGTTACTAACATTTATAACTGCCAAAAGGGATCCTTGTAAAGTGTGAAACAATTCACCATTTATTAATGAGTTACTACCATTTCAAATAACAGCCCCTACACACGGCGGCGTGCGTTGCCGCTTCAACGCTTCTGCCCATTCACTTTGAATGGGGTGACGTCACGATTCGCCGAACTGCATTCTGGGAGCAAAGCGTAGCTTCTCTCGCGGTGCTCGCTGCAAAAGTAGAGCAATGTTCTACTTTTGCGTCCAAGCTCTAGCCAATCAAACCGCGTGCTTGTGTGTCTGGGGCAGGATATTCATGTGATTGGTTGTTGGTCGAGTTTCAGCCCCCCCCCAACAACGCACGCCGCCGTGTGTAGGGGCCGTAAGGCTTAGCAGTACAGATACATGCGGGCTCACTATTTGGCAGGCAACCGGTCACAGTTGCCCTGTTTATCTCATGTCTTATAAAAGCTTATTCATGATTTATAAAGTGCTCACAACCTAATTAATAAATAAATTACAAACTATTCGTAAACCGTTTATACGGGTAGTCTTATTGTAAAGTGGTACCCATAAACCTAACGATAAAAATATGCATTATTATTATTATTGAAAATAAATATAATAATACATTTTTGTTTATTTGGTTAATTTGTGTCAGTTTATTATTATTATTATTATTATTATTATTATTATTATTATTATGTGTGTTTGTGGTTCTGTGTCTGCAGGGACTGGAAGGATCAGATGGAGCTCAAGGAGAAAGAGGAGACTCAGGAAACCCAGTAATATATTTATATATATATATATATATGATATCAGGGGTTTTTCTAGAAAGATATAGTTTGAGTACTGTGATAAAGATATAGTTTGAGTACTGTGATAAAGATATAGTTTG